ATTCCATTGTGTGTTGTGTGTTAGTAATTTGTAGAGTTTATGGTTTTTGAGTACTCAGGCATTGACTAGGTTTGAAATTTGAATTGATCTGTGATTAGGTAGCATTGATGAAATGAGTATTTACTAGTTTGTAAGTATTGACTTGAAATATTTGATCTATTCAATTCACACAAAAAAAAAGGATTTCTGGATTTTAGATGAAATGGAAAGCAGTGAGAAGTAACTTGCTTGGGGTTTATGGTGAAGATTCATGATGATTTACTTGTAAGTTATGCAGAGTAGATACCTCAGAATTTACTTGGGATGTGACAAATTTTTAGACATGTTTTGCGTCGAAAACCCATTGTCAACTTCTTATCTATAAAATAGTTAGAAGGTTTTGGAGAGTAGGTCACGTGGTTTTGAAAGGGTTCGGGATGTAAGTGTAGCATATTTGGCCCTCAAAAACAGTGATAGAGGATGCTATTTGGTAATTAAACGGGTTCATTTTACTTATGTTTCTAAGTCCTTAGAAACTGGTAGTGTTTCAATCTAATACATTCATATTTACAGAAGTTGCCTATTCATCCGCGGAACACTTGTTGGAATGCCAACTGATAGAAAGTAGTAGTGCATAGTAGTTAAATTAATTAAAAATACTTTTAAAAAAATTATATATATTTCTTTTGTATGCATTGTGTACTTGCTGCCCTACTTTGATGTCCTTTGAAGGTTGTTGATTGTAATCATGCTTAAAATATTTCCCGTTTTCTAGAGGTTATCCTTTTGATGGAGATGTTATGTTCCTTTGTAACCGATAGACTTTTCTTGTATTCTTTAAATGTTATGTATTTCATAATGTTAGCACCTTCACGTTGTGATTTGTGAGTTTTTTGTTTGCACCTCATGCTAAACCTTTGCTAGGTAATAACAAAGTTCTGTTCAGAGCGCATTGCTAAATATGCTTTCAAGTACGCTTATCTAAATAACAGAAAGAAGGTGACTGCTGTGCACAAAGCAAACATTATGAAACTCGCAGATGGTTTATTCTTGGAATCTTGTCGAGAGGTTGCCACAAAGTATCCTGGAATCAAGTATAATGAAATTATTGTAGATAATTGTTGCATGCAGCTTGTTTCAAAGCCTGAGCAGTTTGATGTCATGGTATGTATATTTTTGGCCTTAAATCCCAATTATTTATCAACTTTTGGTTGCTATGTTTACGAGTCCAGTGCATGTTGAAATGTATTTTTTAAATGAAAAACATAGTGCTATTAGTTTATTGGTGATATAATATACCAAACTCTTTAGTTAAACTGTGGCCCATTTGTCTATTTGTAGTTTCTTTTATTTCTTTGGGGAATTAGTGCCACAGTGACATGGGTTTTTCCTTTTGCTTAATTTGATAAAAGCTGCCATGGAAATCATTGGATAAATGAGCTGAATAACCAAAAATAAGATATTTTTTTAGTATTTTTCCCCTTTTTACAAGGCTTTCAATTGTGGGTTCAATCAAAAGATGTCATTATAAAACATATTAATAAGAGTGGAGCTAGCTATTTCTTTTTTTCTGGGGATAGAAGCAAACATATACTAAAGGAAAGGTATTTATCAAATATTATAAAGATTCATTCATTATACTTGGTCTCAAACATGAACAACAACAAAAAATCTTCGGGCATCTAAAATATAAGCAAATTTAACTACTTAACCATATTTAATGTTAATATTCTTAAATTAGTCTTCAATTAATTTAGATTTCATTTTCCAATCACCCTTTTATTCTCATGGAACAAGTTCTTATGAGGGGCAATTTGGAAAGTTTGATTACTTTTTTTTAGATTGTTGGAAAAATTAATGAGATTAACTACCTTTCTTAAGAAATGTGAAGTTTTTTTTCATCTTTTATTAATATTTAATACTTTTATATCAGATTAAATTTAAAGAAACAAAAATAGAGATCATACTATAGTCATTTCTTGGAGTGAAATCTTATCCATAATAACTATATACTATAAAAGGATTATCGGTGTCTTTCCGGCTGGGAAAAACTAGTATTTTTTGCAAGAAAATCAACATATGTTTTGTCTGACAAAAAATTTGAATTGCTTAAAATGCTCTCTCAGTAGTTGCTGTAGGAAAGAGATTGTTAGAGTCAAACCAAGACAAATCAGTCTATCACCTAAGTATTTTATTTTACCTTTTTGTTTCTGCTAATTTGAGTAGTTTCTGAAACAATTTAAAATGTTGCGATATCTTGAAAGCTTCGAGGGTAAAAATGTCAAGCAATTGTTGTTTTAGTTGTAATATCAGATGAAGTCTATTCTTAATGAAATGATAGAACAAAAAACCCTGCTAACCTACAATTATTTTCAGCATAATAATTGTCATTTTAGCCTTGGATATTCAATACATATACAACAAGCCACCACATAAAATAAAAATAAAAATATTGAGCCGATGTGGGACTCTTAACACACCCCCTCACGCTCAGGATTGGACATGTTCATGCCATATATTGTCCGATGTGGGACTCTTAACACACCCCCTCACGCTCAGGATTGGACATGTTCATGCCATATATTGTCCGATGTGGGACTCTTAACACACTCCCTCACGCTCAGGATTGGACAACTGAAGCGTGGAAATAAATGTTGGGTGGCCCGATAGCGGAAACCATAAAAGGTGGCCCACCGGATCTTAAACGAGACTCTGATACCATGTTAAGAAGTGTGGTTGGGCCTAACACAACCCTACAAAACCGATTGGTAGAGTGAGGATTGCTCCCAATTATAAACACATGTTCATGCTATATATTGTCCGATGTGGGACTCTTAACAATGACCTTGGAATCAGTGATGGCATCCTACATTTCTTAACGTAGATTCCCTAGTTTAATCTATTTATATGAAAGCATTAATATGATAAAGTAGTCATCAACTTTTGTGATTTGAAATGATGGATGATTGTGCTAGTTGGAAATAAATATATACTTAATAGCTATCTCATTATCCCTCAGGGAAGTGTAACCAATGGATTCACGATAATGAATACTAAAGGGACACATATTCTGCCTTTTCTATTGATGCCACTATGAAAGTAAAAAACATCGAAGGAAATTGCTGATTAATATGATATTTCTTTCTTGCAAGTTACTCGTGTTTTTCCCAGTCAATTTGCTTTTGGTTTTAAATTCAAAGAGAGGTATTGAAGGTAACAAACACTATTTCCACTTACAGGTAACCCCCAATCTTTATGGAAATCTTGTTGCAAATACCGCGGCAGGCATTGCTGGTGGAACTGGTGTCATGCCGGGAGGTATGTATAACTACCACTGATGTCTTGAAACTCTAGAGCTCTCATTTGATAATATTGTGTCATTTTTCTTATTGAGCAGTACTTTGCTTCCATATAGTCATTGTTGTTGTGAAATGTGTGAGGGTGACTACTGCTCAGAACTGTTGAGTCTGTATTTAGAGTGTATTAATCATATTGGACTAGTTCGTTCAGACGATTATTCCAGGAAAAAAGTGCCGTTCTTTGAAAACTCTACCTAAATATAGTGATCGATTAAATTAGAGATTGTATATTCACTGAAAAGAAAATATAGGTGGTACAGAAATCAAACTGAAAATTCATTTCTCTTCCTCAACAGGTTGCGGTATGGAGGTAACATCAGTAATTGTGGGGTAATGAAGTTGTCAAATGGTAGAAGCAATGTAAGTAAGAGCAGAGAAGTCGTAAAATTGACATTTTACTCTACTAGGGAACAATTCACTTTAGACGATAAAGTAAGATATTTCAACAATTAATGAAAAATGAAGATTCAATATTTTATGCATGTATAGTAAATCATGAACCAACTACTTATTTTCTAATCAATGGTTGAGGTCATGTTGTACTCTCTAGAAAGAAAATTCACTTAAGAAGAGTCAAATCTAGTAAACGGATATGGGTTGGAACTTCTAGAGGTGGCAGTGTTGTTGGCAGGATGGAGGGTTTTAATGAAAATATCAGATAGGGCCTTTGTGTTGAACCCAGGGATGGAATTTGTGGAAGGGTGTTTAAATAGAAGTGATTATTGATTAAAAATTCACTTTATCGTTAAGCTTGAATATCTCAAATCATGGATGACCACGCTATATTTGAACAAGGTACTTCAGCAGGAAATGTTGGTAAAGAAAAAGTAGTTCAACAAAAGAAAGCCAACCCTGTGGCACTCCTCCTTTCATCGGCAATGATGCTTAGGCATCTTCGTTTTCCTGAATTTTCTGACCGATTGGAAACTGCTGTGAAGCGAGTCATTTTAGAGGGCAAACACCGGACCAAGGACCTTGGAGGGACGAGCACCACCCAAGAGATTGTTGATGTAGTGATAGATGCATTAAATTAATTACATATTCATATTTATTTGCACATTTACCATATGAAGTTAGCGTTGCAAGTTCTTTGCCAAGTGTCCATAATCTTTTTGCACCCTTTGAAGGTGAATCGGCAATTTTCGGCCATGATTAATGTTTATTCAATTCATAAATTGATGTGATGATAATTTTGAAAAGAGCAGTCTGTTTTGCCAAGAATCGTCTATTCCTTTATGTAAAAACTGAGTTTATTGCCTCAATAATGTAGTCTATGGGGGTTTCTGGCCTGTAGTTAGAATCAGTCACAAGCTTTGGATGCAACCTTGTAACTATGTTGCCTTACATTAGAATCAAACATTTTTTGCACTCCCCAAACTTTTCTTAGAGAAACAGAAGCCAAATTAATTCTAACATTCAACACAACTCATAATACATAGATTATACATGCCTTTAAGAAATAATGACATCAAAGTGTCTAGAATAAAAACAACAACTAAATTGATTTAACATTATTACAGGCTTGTTTGGCACCATACCAACTTTTATTTTTTAAACTGCATGAACCAGATAATTTGAATGTCTCTCGGCTTAAAAGTCATGCCTTAAATCAAACTCTAAGAATGAACTACCCTTAAAAATCTTGAAGGAGAATTTTGCAGTTCATTGCGGGTTTATCCTACTCAAGAGATTAACTGAGTCACACCACCCATTATTTTTAATTTTTTCTCTAATAACAAACTTTTGCACCTTCCCAGTCGAATTAAGAGGCAAATCACCAAACACCACACTCTTAGGAACCATATGAACATCCAAATGATCTTCACAAAACTTGATAATATCTTCAACATTAGCACTACAACCCTCCTTCAACTTCACAATTGCACAAGGTGACTCCACCAAACCCTCACAAAACCCCCCAACAACAGCCACTTTCAAAACCTTTGGATGGTTCATCAACACACCTTCAACCTCTAATGAACTCACAAACTCATCCTTACAGTAAATACCATCTTTTGCTCTATCCTTCAAACTAAAAGAACCATTAGGTAACCTAACACCAAGGTCCCTAGTCCTATACCAACCATCCCTAAAAGCTTCATCACTCACTTTTGAACTCTTGAGATACCCTAACATCAAAGTATTCCCTTTAAACATAATCTCACCTATGTTTTTTCCATCCCAAGGAACACTCTTCATTGTACTAGGATCTTTCACATCAACCTCTGCCATCATAAAATCTATAACACCTTCTTCAACATAGTTAAACTTTGTAACATCATCATCAAAATTCTTTTTCCACTTCCTCACAATAACCGGGCCTAATACTTCCGTCATACCATAACTGATATTCACATCGAATCCAATCTCTGCCACTTTGTTAAGAATTTTGAACGACGGTAATATACCTGCAACCGTGACACTAACCTTATGGGAAAAAGGCTTAATCACATCACAATTTGCAATAATTTCCAAAAGGATAGGTGCACCACAGAAATGTGTCACCTTATGAAAACAAATTGCATCAGAAATATTTTTCGCTGAAAAATTGTCTCTAACACAAATATTTGTTCCACCAAGAACAGGCATTAACCAAATGAAACACCATCCATTGCATCTAAACATGTCAACTGTCCATAGAAAAACCGGCATAATTTTCACGTCGAAACGAGTAATCGTCGCGATTGAATTTAGATAAACACTTCTATGACTATAAACAACTCCTTTTGGAATTCCTGTTGAGCCTGATGTGAAATTAACTGATATAGGTTCACATTCATTGCTAGGCAATAAAATGTTAAAATCTGATTGACCCTTTTCAAGAACTTCATCATAGATTAATGTACCTTGTGGTAAATCTTTCAGTAATAGGTCATAATCTTGGATTAGCACAATAAGAGGTGGCTTTAATTTTTTTTGGGAGATTAATTTTGTTGCATTGAGGGCAGAGTCAATAAATTCATAATCCACAAATATGATTTTGCAATGCTCTAATTGTTCCAATATTATTGCTAATGTTGCTGCATCAAGTTTAGGATTTAGTGCAGAAATAATAGCACCTGCCATTGGTACACCAAAATGAAGCTCATACTGTTCTGGAATATTTGGTGCCAAAGTTGCTACCTGTTTATAAATATAAGATGATAAAAAATGTATTTTAGTTTTTTTTTTATAAATTAAATGATCATAAACATAAACATTCAAATGGCTTGAAATAGAGTATTTTTAATAATGTGTGTTTTTTTATTTTTAATGACGTGTTTTATCTAATTGACGTAAATTTTGGTATGGAATGTCAATGACGAAAACGTAGCGTTGAACACGGTATACATCTATTTTCACATTTTCCACCACTACACGTTTATACAATTATTATTATTTTTTAAAAATAAGATTCTCTCTCAAGCCATGAAAGATCAACTCTCTTTTATAAAAAGAAAATTTAACACTGATATATGTGCAGAGCTGGATTCAAACACAATAACAGATTAAAATAACAAACTTATTAAACTTTTTATTATTTTTTTAAAAATGTAAATTAAATATGAGAAAATGAGTAATGCACTATAGTGATTAAAAAAATTTTATACTCTCAACTAATTACGACCATGAATTCCTACAAATCAAACAGTAATTTTTAAAAAATTGATATGACATTGTAAAACAATATATTTTTATTGGATGACAGCGTAAAACTTTTACGTCCATCTCTTTTAATCTTATTAAATATTAAATTTAATTATTAATTTTTATTGTTAAGAAAAAATACATTAAAAAAGTATAACTTTTACATATGAAGGCGGGGCAAGACGGAGAAATCCGTTTCTTTAGGGAGTGGATGATCATTTGTTACTTTCGACCAAAGGTAGGGACATGATAAGTCTAATATAAAAAGGCAGTGGGAGAGTTGATAATAATTAAATTCGTCTCCGACCCGATCAATTGTCCTGCCTAATTAAACATGGAGAAATATTTACTAACTAGTTCAAATACTCTTGGTTATTATTTATTATTTTGAAAATAGTTTATATAATAATAATAATAATAATAATAATAATAATAATAATAATAATAATTATTATTATTATTATTATTATTATTATTATTATTATAAACATTACTCCATCACAACCGTTGAAAATATGGCTAAAAATTAGTCAAAGAGGAAAATATGATAACAAACTTTCTGCATGACAATTGATTAGGTTGATTTTATATGGTATGGTTTTACACCTAAATTTACATATTCTACTGAAAATTTAAGGTTGATTTTACAAATTTTTATAATTCAATGACAAGAGAAAAATATGTTTGACATAATAAGTGGATTATAAGTGGTTGATTTTAATTACTTGTTGATAAGTTTTTTTTTTGACAGAGTTGTTGATAAGTTATTCATAATATTTTAATGACAACCTAAGTTTCATGTTATTTTTTTTATGTTAAGTTAACACTCACTCATAAAAATAATTTTATAAATTTAGCTTTTCTTAATCTTTTAAAATATTTCATTCGGTCTTAAATATAAGTATTAAATAAAATATATTCTATCATCTAAATTTCAATCAATTATATATATATATATATATATATATATATATATATATATATATATATATATATATATATATATATATATATATATATATATATATATATATATATATATATATATATATATATAATAATGTGAAAGGAAGAACTTACAATATCACCATGAGAAATTCCCAAGTTGACCAAAGCAGAAGCAAGTTTAACACATCTTTCATAGGTTTGTCTCCATGAAAATCTAACATGATCACCATAGATGATTGAAATTTTGTCACCATACAACGACGCTGCTCGTGCTAGAAAACTAACCGGTGTTAAAGGTATGTTGAAACCTTTAGAACACTCAACCAGATCTTCTTTCATTCTAACGTCCTAACTGGTTCTATATAACACATCATTTCTACAACATATATATAGAGCACTTGTATTAAAAAAATCAACACGTCAAAAAATATTTTCAACAAATGTTCATTTTATTTAAGGAGAGAGAAAAGGATAATATAGAAGTTAATTTGTAGTATTAGATGTTATGGGTCTTTAGATGCTAGAAAAATGTTTTTTACATGTGTCATTGCTAGTTAACAAGTGTTTCAGTCAGAAAAAATATAAAATAACAAATAAATTGTATATGGGAAAATTTTAATGTTTAAAACTTTAAGATGTTGAATTCACTATTTCCAAAGTAAATTACTTTTGAATTCTTAATAAATGCTCTTTGACCATTTGTTAGCCTTTCCCAATAAAAATTACAAAATTGATATAAAAAATTTTAAAAATCAAAAGAATAACTAAATAGTAAAAAGTATTTTCTTTTAAGACCACAATTTGATTCATTTTAATGAATACATATAAAATTATTTATAATAGATAGGATAAAAATTCGCAAAAATAAATACGTATACGGTTTCGAATTATTATTCACAAAAATAAGTCGGTATAAGTGCGAGTATGAACATTTTAGTATCCACCATGTCCCATACTCGCACAATATATATTTATCTATTTTAATTTATTTTATTATATAAAAATGCATGTCTGACAATTTTAAGAAGTTTATAAATATTAATTCATTGAGTATTTAGTGTAAGTGTTAATTTATTTCAACAATAAATTTTATAGGTTTTTTTAATGTTTTTAAAATTTTAAAATGATGTGATATTTTATAATTGATTTATTTATTTTTAATAGAGATGCAGATAACGAATATGTATACTTACATACCCATAAGACACGGGTATGGGTGCTAATTTTGGCACCCATGCGGGTATGTGCTCGGATACGAAAATTTTTTCAAATCTCGAGTATGGAGATGGGTACTATATAAGAGTATCTGCCCATACCCTACCTATTGTTATCTCTATTTCCTCTTATCTCAAATATAAGGCAAGCGAAAAAATTTTATGGTCTTAAATATAAGAAAAAAACCACTTATATTTATTACATTCAATGTCATTATTTTAAATATACTTTTACTTTTTTCACATTTCTATGTTTTTAACGATTTTCAATACAAAAAATATAGATAAAATTAAAAAGAGTGTGAAACTCAATGCATTTAAATATTTTTTTAAAGGATGATTTTTTGTAAAATTGCTTATATATGAGACCGGGGAAATACCATGATATATTTAATTAAATTGGCACATAACTTCTCCACCGGTATGCTGCCATTTAAATATTTAGGAATACCTTTATTAAGGAGGAAATTAAATGTCTAACAATGTAGTCCTCTAATTTATATGATACTCTCTCCCTCTCATAAAAAGTTTTTTATTTTCACTTTTTTTTTTATATCTCAAAATAAATGTCTCTTTAAAATACCAATAATAATGAGTCCCCAGTGCTTGGCTAATGGTCTCCGTTATGGGCTGAGTGTTCAGACCCACAACGGATGATTGCTAGGACTTCCACGTGAAAGTAGGAATGAGTAGTTTGGGCTCATCGTTCTGAGTCAATTGCTCCGCATTCTCTGGATATTGGATGGACTTGCCCGTTACGAATAGTCAATGTCTCCGCGAGGGGCGTGAGTTTAGTTGGTGACGTGCCCTCGGGTGAGGGGCAAGTGCGGAACGTATTCTCCACTGAGACTAACAGGATGGGTCAGTACTCTGGGTCGTCCTCAACGCAGAACTAAGTTGACTGTGCTCGACGATGGATCAGCCACAGGCCTAATCCAAAACACAACTAATGGCAAGCGTGCGCATTGTGATCATAATGAAAATGTGAATCACCTCTTTGAATGTGCAGATACAAGAAACATTTGAAAAGAAATATTGGCTTATATTGGTTATTAGAGGAACACTACAACTTTAAACATTGAGGGAGTGTGGATCATACATGAAACTAAGAGGAAGGAGTGAAGAAGAAAACTATTGAAACTAGCTCTACCTTAGATAGTATATGCAATTAAGATAGATAAAAATACTAAAATGTTTTTATAAATGACAGAGATCAAAGAGTCTAAATGCGTGTGATTTGTCTTTAGATGAAATGAATTATTTACTTCTTCTTTTTTTGATAAAGGAATGAATTATTTACTTTAAAGTCTTATAATATGATATATATGATGAATGGTGAATTCCGACTCAAGAGTCATTTAGCAAAGAATGAATTAATATGTTTTATATAAGTGTTAGTCCCTTTTTGACAAAAACAAACAAAACGTTTAAACTAAATTAATTGAACGTGTCGAAAGCTTATGCTGATTGATGACGCAACTATAGTGATCAATTGAACATTCATCAGCATGTCCACGTCGCATCGTACAGTGAATGTGTTCATATTCATTTGTTGGTAGGTTCTTAGTTTATTTATTTTTCAATCCACATATAAATTTTAAATTTTATATAAAAGTTATGGAATTATAAATTAGTTTATCTTAGAGAATGATTCTTACACAGCACATATTAATTTATATCCTTTTAGATTGGCAGGTTATGTGCTGCCATGCCTTAGGGGCACGGGTGTCCATGTCTGTCTCCTTTGGAAGAGGAAAGTGGGAGTAAAATATATCAAAATTTAAGCCCTAAAAAAATTTGGTAATATTCTTTTCATTCTTACATGTGTATATTACATTTTTAAAATTTTTAAATTGACATTTAAGTGTTCGGATATGCATATTCGAACGTATTTAAAATTGTGTCAAATTTTTTTTCTTTTGAATTTCACTCTAGGATGCATTTTCGTATACTGTTTGAGTGTATATGAGGATATATCTCTAAAATACTCTTTAAACTCATTTATGGGGTTTGTTATTCACGCAAATGTTTTAAATATCAAGTTAATGATATATTTAGAGATGCATCTCCAAAAATGTCCGATGGAAAAGTTTATAAAACACCACATTACATGATCTTCTTCATCATGCTATAACAAGTAACCATTTCAAAATCTTTGAAAAAATTTCTCTCATTCTCAATCAACTTTTCAACACCAAAACATCATTCTTGTATTTCATCACTTCAAATGGAACAAATCAAGTTAGAGTTGCAAGTAAAAATCATTCATTTCATCTCTCATTCCTCACATAATCTTAGTTTTAAGTTGGAAAATGAATGTTGAGTCCAAGATGCATTTTCGAATGAGGTTTGGTGTAGTCCGGATGTGCATCTCCGGACTATCATGATAGTTTCTGTTTTCACACTATTTTTCTATTATTGGTGGTAATAGATACGGTGCACCCGAACATCTTTTATTTAAACCGCTATATAAATATACTATTCAGATCTGGATCTAGGATGATTATCTGTTAGTTTATAGACTCTAAACATGGATTTGGGCTTAACATTTGCTTGAGTATCAGTTCTTAATGTTCTGTGTTGTTGAGTTGCGTGAGACAATACAATTATTCTCTCGATATTGTGTTAGATATAACCTCTGTTGTGGGTGATACGCGAGGACATCAGACGAATGATTGATTTGTGTTTAACTGGTTAGAAGAATGCATGTGTTATAAATTGATAAGATCTAATCCCAACAAGACTCTATTTATATTTTAAGTCTTTATTTCATATTTTTCATCTTTATATTTGTATGCCTTTATTTATTGTACCTTGATTTATCAACAAATTTTCACAACAAGCTTAGAAATGTAGAGACAGTTGAACAACATTTTTTCCCTCGCATCGATCTCTATGGAGAAGATATAAAGTCCGGAGGGAATCCTTCCAAAACTCAATTTTTGTTTATTGCCGCTTTACTGCAGTTCGATCAGACCATCAAAAAAATTCTTAAAAAATGAAGTTAGTAGGTTTTGGACAATCGATTTGTCCTTGTTTCGGTTGTTTAATCCACTTGTCGATTTTGGCCATAGCTTCTATTTTGTAAGTCTAAAAGAGATGTGTTCAAAAAGGTGGGAAACTAACGCGCAAAGTTATCTCGTGGTGGTGCTTGGTGTGTTGTTTGAGTTATAATCATGTGCCTACAGTGGCAATGTTTGTGATGACTTGTATAATCAATTAACGAATCGTTGTGTTTATCCAATGATGTGTTAATGTTTTGGTGAATGAACATGATTGAATGTGTGTGGTTATGCACTTGCTGAGTTGCTTCAATTAGTTTTTGTTTGTTGAATGTTGTAACACTGATTAATTGTTGTGTTTGATGAATGATGTTGTGCATAAATGGTGAAATGTGCATGATAATTCTTTTGGTGAACCTTTTGATGATAATGCATGTTAACGAGAGTCATGTAACATGGTATACGAGCTTCGATATAACTTTTATGTGTTGTAGTTTGGTGGTATGAATCGGTAACGAGTAGCTAGTTCTAATGAAGAGTTTGTGAAACATTATATATGATGGTGATAACAAACTTTGGTGTGCTCTGATCCTATGGTGGAGATCAGAAGCGAGTAGCCGATTTCAGGTGGGACTTGGTGAAACGTTACCTATGGTGATGGTAATGATTTGGTGTGCTCTGGTCCTGTGGCGGGGATCAGAGCAAGATGAACCTAAGTGTTTATGATGTTGTTGATTGGTTGCAAATATGTGCATGTTATTATGAATGGGTATGAGATTATGTTGTTGATGGTTGTGTAATAAATATGGGCTTGTTTTATGCTCTCTACCTTAACATTATTTACACTGTTTATATTAATTTGTCGTTTGTCACCTCTTTATTTAATGTTGTTCACCATGGACATCTTGCAGATACTCATGAGTAGAGTTTAATGTTGTAAGTGAGAGTTAGCTTATGGAGTTACTTTGTTTAGTTTCTTTGTTATTTAGAGATTTTGCTCTGATCTTGTAACATCAGGGTTGAAAATATTTGTTTGTTTATTATGTTTTGTTGGAGCTTAATTGCTTGATGAAAAAGAAAATAAAAAGACCATTAATTTATAAAATCCCCAGTTCCTAATGAA